CGAGTTGATTCGCACTCCAGGGCCTGTGGCCCATCAGGTGCTCTACAACGACTTGGGCCTCGATGGCCCTAGCCCGGCCCTTGTGGCTAATTATTCAGGAGAGAGTGGCTGACAGACTGTTTGTTTGTAGTTTGTACGTACTTTGTAGTGTGTCAAAATGTTAGCTTTGATTTGATTTGATTTGCTGCCTGATCTGAGCGCAGCTAGCACTGCTGTAAACGACTAAGACATCGATAATTACTAGCAGCTCATGAAATATATAAACCCCTTTCTTACACTTATTTTTTCCAGAGAACATATGATCAGTTTCCAAGAGAATGATATTATAGTAGTAAAAAAGAACAATTCTGATCCAGCATAATATTGCCGATCCTGTGGCTGGATGAATTTAACCGCCAGTACAGATCAATTTTTACAGGCGGGGTACATAACATTGCCACCACTGGAAATATATCAGTTTGGTGCTAGTAGAAATACTTACGTTACTTTTACTGGCTTTCACACTGACGGTTAAAAAAAGGGCAGTAGAAATCAGTTTTCTACCGCGAGTAAAAACCTTTTTGTCTACTAGTGATCTCACCAATTGGTGGTGTTGATGTAGGCAACATATCATGTGCAAACCAACTAACCTGTGTAAACTTAGAAACTACCAATCAGGACCACTGGATGCTGATCCAATGGATGGGGTGAGGGGGCTTAAGCACAAAAAAAAAGGACGGCGGGTGGGGGCTTAAGAGCAAAAAAAAATCCCACCTCTCACCCAATTTATTGGATCAGCATCCAGTGGTCCTGATTGGTAGTTTCTAAGTTTGCACATGTTAGTTGTTTTGCACCTAATACGTTGTCGTTGATGTAATCTCAAGCAATCAACATGGGACAGATTGCAGACTAGATAGATAGATTTGGTATAACCACTGGATACTCAGGCAGAATCTGCATCATCCACGCATTAGCCAGACGGTGCTTTGTGCACATGGGAATGTGATGCCAATATGCAAATCGGTGGATCGGACAGGCAGACAGCCGGTCAGTTGTCGCTTCCCTTTGACCAGACCTGCAAGTGCTAGCCAATTCATCCGGGCATCCGGCCGGCCGGCCGGCCCGCCAGAAAATTTCTCTAACTGCCATTATGTTTAAACAACTTCAGTATCAATGTTGAGCAATCTAGTACTGATTCACAAGAAATCATCAGCTTCTTGACGATCTGGTCTTCACCTGATTCAAGTGTTCGAACCCTAATTTGGACACATTCCATCGTCTGGCGTATCCACAGCTCGTGTCCTGTTGCTAACGATCTAGTATGCATGAACTCACATGGCTGCGTTCGTTGTCTCTACTGAACTCACATGCTAACGCATGATGGGTTTAAGAGAGAAGATATGTGGTGCAAACAATGCCATTCTAAAATTTTAAAACTTATAGTACTTCGATAGTGCTTTCATATATGTACTCATGTATAAAAGTTAAGATGCAAACTAAAACTAGGAAAAATATGGAAAAAAAACAAATTTCAGATGCATGTGCACTAGAATTTGTGGGGTTTTTTTTTTATCTTGTAATATAATAACGCACATGCACCGGCCTGAAATTTGTCATTTTCGTATATATGGTCTGGACATGTATTTTCCTGGGTAAAGAGACTGACAAGTGGAAAACAGCAAAAGGAAGATTTTACCTCTCGACCATCATACAGATGCAGCAGTACCGTGTTTAGTATACGCACGCATGCACACAGTTTGCATGCTAGTTTAAAAATACACGCATGTTCGTCACTAGCTTTCGGCTGCATGTCGGCACACCCATCGAGCCAAATGCACTTCGATCATTTGCACTTAACCGTTGCAGCATGTCACCATGATGAGACTCCACGTCGTGATGAGGGACACGTGTCAGAGAGGCAGCCACTTGACCAGCCGCCGCGCGGTCAAATGATGACACACATGTGGTCCTCGGATCCCTATGCGTGGTCGTTCGGTCCCTCCTCGTTAGTAGTGGAGTGGCAAATGGTTTTGAACTAATCTATCCAGGGTTTATCCGACACTCGATCACATGGCAGACACTGTTGCCGGAGCAGTGTAGTATACTATCATCAGCATCATCATGAACATCTCCGTAATTAGCATAATCTATCTTATAGCTAATTCTTGTCTTTTTGCAGCTTAGTGTTTACACGTCTACGTTTTGCATCCTAGTATTCCATCGATCCTCTCTCTGAGGACTCCATCTATTCTACTTTCGGATTTCGAATGTTTAGACTTGTAAGGCTAGTCTCACTGGAAATTTTATAAGAGTTTTATGGGCACTCAGTGTCGGTGCAGAAAGTGACCAACAAGTGAATATTTGTAGTTTTGCCGTACGTTATGATCGGAGGTGGCCTAGCACTCAATGACATATGGTTTATACTGGTTCAGGCAACATGCCCTACGTCCAGTTTGAGTCGGTCGGCGACTTTATTCCTGAGCCCAGGTGCTCGAAGTTTGCAGTGTGGTTACAAACGAGAAGGAGAAAGATGGGGGTTGCAAAAGGTCTGGTCGGACTCCTGCCGGAAGGGTCGAGAGTGACGGGAGCCCCGCTATGAATTAGATGTTCGAGCGTGTGCTCGTGGTTCGAACCTGGCGGTTCTGTTCTAATGAACTTAATCGATCTAATGAATCTGGAAATGACTTGAACCTACATGGATTTACTTGAATCAACTTAGTCTCTTGGGAGAGAGCGCATCCCCTTTTATAGATGAAGGAGATGGCCTTACAAGTGAGAGGAAAGGAGTACGTATGCTTCTAAGCCTTGTTGCCCACGCCGGCGGGTACAGGATGATGGTAGGCGCCCACAACACTGTTGGATGTTAGATGCACGTGGGATGTTACGTCGTCTTGTTTGGGTATGGCAGATGTCGGTACCTGCATATACTGTTGGTGCCCAGAGGCATGTGAGGAGTTTCACCATGTTCACTCGGTACGGTAAATTCTGGCGCCCACAACACTATCGATGCCCAGAGGCATGTGGGGGAGCCTTATCGTATGGGAGTTAATGGCGCCCATAATACTGTAGGAGAAAATGTCGGCACCTACAACACTGTTTGTGACAGGGAGGTTGCAGAGTACTGTTTCTGCAGGTGTACAGGGTACGGTCCCTGGTATCGTGGTTTGACTTGTACGCCTGACCTTGCTTTCTCTGTTCGTTCCCTGGTCCTTTCCGAGCGGGCGTCCCCGGTCGGTTGGTCCCAGTCGGCTCTGGTTGCGCTAGTCAGAGGAGAGCAGTGAGCAGGGTTTTGGCGTACCCCGGTCGGAGACGTGGGGTCGGAGTCGGAAGTAGCGTTTTGGCTAGGCCTTCCGGTCGGAGAGGCCGTCCGGAGGCGGCTGGAGTCGGAGTGAGCGCTCTGGTCGGAGAGGCGGGCCGGAGTCGGAGAACGGGTGCCGCTCCTCCTCGGCCAGACCTTCCAGTCAGTGACTGGACCGCCCTTCTCGCCTGTCGCTCAGATACTTGGGCCGGCCCATGAGTCGCGCGCTGTCTGCTTGTGCCGAGCCTTTGTTGGAAAACCGGCCCGCGAGGGACCCCGGGTTTATGAACCTGACACTAAGTAACCTGACATAACATCGTAAAAATAGAGAGAGATGATAAAAGTTTCATACGGATAAAATTTGTCTACTACGTTGTTCCAAGATATATATACTCCCTCCGTCCCTTTTTTATTTGTCAAGGTATACAGGTAGGATCAAACTTCCTTAAGTTTGATTAGGTTGTAGAAAATATTAACAATATTTTATCTTCAAATAAATTTATTATGAAAATAGATTCAACGATCTATCTAATAATACTAATTATGTGCCATAAATATTAATATTGTTTTATATGTATTTGATCAAAGTTAAGTATGTTTGACTTTTCTCGGGAGTGAGAACGACAGTTAAAAAGGGACAGAGGGAGTAAGTCTTATAAATTAGGACATGAAACCCCGACTGAGACTCGTCTACATACCAGAGCATGCATGCATCCACACATTTTGGGAGAAAGCCAGAAACCCTCAACATATATAGTTGTAGCCGTTGTTGCTAAATAAACCATACTCCCTCCGTCCTAAAATATAAGGAATTGATGGTTCAAAATTTATATCAAAATACAAGATATTCTAGGTCATCGGTTTCTCTCTCCTCTGTCTTTATTGATACCTCTTTCTTTCAAGCAGGGGTGGAGGGAGGGAGGGGCTAGGGGGGCCTGGCACCCCCAACAACCTATTAATTCCTCTACTAATTCTTCATTAGCTCTTAAATTTAGTGTTTGCTAGCTCATTTATGAAGATCTGGCCTCCCTTAATTGAATCTGTCACCCCCTCCCTATCTTCTATTTCTAGCTCCACCCTTCTAAGTACACCATGACTTTCCTCTCTAATTCATGGCAGGAAATAATAACATGTAAAGATTCCTTTTAAACTAGAAAACAAGTACCAAACTACTCACTCCCTCCTAATTAGTGACAGGTAATACAATACTCCTTCTATCTTGTAATATAGTGCATTTCAAAAAATTTAAGACAACTTAAGGGAATCCTTAAATGACGTATGTACCCGTAGATTAATATCAGTTAAGGTGTTTCTCCTTAAATTATGGTTTTTTTTTGATAAACGTCGATAAATCTTGGCACCAACACATGTAGAATGCATTATATTTCAGTATAAATTTTAGAAATCACAATACACTATATTTCAGGACGGAGGGAGTATATTATTTGCTCGAACGACAGGCAAAATCATTTCAATTTATTTGCATGCTGGAGATGATGCATGTCTCTATATTATCGAAACTTGTCGGACATGGAAGTGTTACTACCAAATGCCCCCGGGTTGACCTCTCTGTTTTAGTATGTCTGTGGGTGCCTTGTCTGCCTCTCTCAGAGCCTGTTGGGCAGCAAGCGTTGTCCGGTTCCGGTGTGCCTAGTGGCAGTAGGGGGCCGTAGTATACGTACCGCGCATGTGGGCTTTGTGTGTGTGCCACACCATGCTGGGT